GGTTTGTTACTGAGAATGTTTGAGAGACCAACTAATACAGCCAAATTTTATTAGTTAAAGAAAGCAGTACAAAAAAAAAAAAAAAAAGGAAAGACTTGATACATTACCAATCTTTCTTAGAAGCAGTTTTCTCACAGCATTCAGATCACCTTACGCAGAAGGTGTACTCGGAAGTATGCATTCAAACTAGCCATTTTCATAGTATGGCTGTTTACAGGCTGAAAACACTCTACACATCACTCAGGACTAAAATTCACCCATCAGCTTTTTACCTTGTTTTTCTTATTCCATGATGTATCTTTCTTATCTTTTGATTTGGATTCCACATTCCAAACCAGTTGGGCCATGGAGGTACCACCCAACCTGTACCAGGACAAAGAATGAATGCATCTGGTCTCTGACAGGTTTTATATTCAACTGTGCAAGATGCTGAATTTGCTGTTGCAAAGTACTGTGGGATATATATCTTGGCGTAAATGAACAGAACTGTAGGGAAAACATAACACAAATTCAGTTAGCATAATTTGCCACATGCTTTGCACAATATGAATGTGGTATACACTACACCTAACATATATGTACGTGCTAACAAAGCTCATAGAGAAACTAGCAAAAGGACAGCTACAAGCTCATCTAATTGAAGCTAGTGTTCTAGACCCAGCACAGTCTGGAGTCAGGCCAGGACCTGGAACCGAAACTGCATTACTGGCATTGATGGATGATTTCCTTCTGTCAGTGGATAGAGGGCAGACATCCATTCTCATCCTCCTAGACCTCTCTGCAGCATTTGACACTGTCAGTCATCAAATACTACTCTCTCATCTGAGAGAGGTGGCAGTAGTCCAGAATAATGTGCTGAAATGGTTTGAATCATTCCTGGAGAGTTGCACCCTCCGAGTAGTGATGGGAAACTGCACCTCAGGAGTGCAAGTAGGGCACTACCCTCCAGTACGCAGTATCAGCAAGAGATTTTTAGTGGGTACGGGGTACCAGAAAGACTTGGGGCTAGCCCCCACTCTGGCGGGGGCTGTGCTCTGCTCCTTAAAGGAGCAGAACACAGCTAGGGAGGGCATTCATTCTTTAAATGGCTTTAACAGCATAATACTTTTGCTAGCAAACTTAAACAAAGGCTTTGTTTAAGTTTGTTAGCATATGTATTCTGCTGTTAGGTTGGTCAGGAGTCCTCAAGAGGGGAAAGGTGGTGGGGGACGAAAGGTGTTTAAACAGTGTTTTAGATTCTGTTTCTCTCCATTGGTCTGAATTATCCATGACATTCATACAGCATCACATCAAGTCCAAATCATTAGAGGAATGTCTCTGCTTGCACTGACCAGAGGATGTTTGGATTTGGATGTCAGCCCAGTTCTGCAGCCTTACAGGAATCAGGTGTTGTCCTCAGTGTACACAGAATTCTTCTTTGCAGCCAAATTAGTCTAACATGCATTTTGTTAACTGGAACTGGAGCAGCAAAACAAAGAAAACAAATGCCTCATTTTCCAGCTTTGTGGGTGAGAGAACTATAAGTGAAGATTATAATGCTGGACACTGACGGCCTTAAACCAGCTGCCTCAGGAATCTGCCAAGAACTTTGCTGAAAATATGTTCCTCATCTTAGCAACGGTACTAAGACTTATCACACATCTGCCCACCTTTATTCGAATGAAGCTCCTTCTGATCTGACAGCTCAGGCATTGTCAGTTTCATCCAGAACAATTTACAAACTTGGAACCTAATCCTGTAAATCCTTAATCATTTGATCAATCCCACTGAAGACAATTGGACTATTTGCATGATTATGGACCACTTTTGTGGACTGGTAAGAGTTTCAGGAGTCTGTTCCTATAAAGGAAGTTGAATCCCCCATTGAAATGCAATGTTTAGGTACAATACCATAAAGCAGTTTAGGATACAGTTCTATTTAAAATTTGACTTTTAATAAGTCATATATATGCTGAAATGGCTCCTCACCCAACTTCTATATTCCATATAAACAGACCAAATACTAAATATTTGGGGGGGAAATTGAGTAGTTAAGCATGTTGATGTTTGTATTGTGGCAAGACATATTCTCGGTCTCACCAGCCTCAGCTGTTTTTAGCCTTGGCGAGACGGGCTTGGGTAAAACAGTCCCTCTTGGCTGCACAGGGGCAGTCCGTTCCTTCTGTTAGCCAGTCTTTTGGGCTTGTTTTTCTCCCTTATGGGAGGGAATGCAGCCTCCCCTCCTGGTGAGGCTCGCTGTCTTCCTGCTCCTAACCTACTTGCAGCTTGACTCCTTCTCTCTCCCCCGCCACTTCTCCCAACAGGGGAGGGTTTAAAAAGGTCTCAGGCAGCCCTTAGTTGGAATCAGCTGATCCTAATTGACCCTCAGGTAACCCCCTCCCAGCTGATCCTAATTGATCTCAGGTGAACCTGATTGACCTGTAGTCACCCCTCCTCAGTTGATAGGGAGGAGGGCCTTTTAACCTTCTGCGACTGTTTTCTACTCCCTCCTTGCAGCTGTCTGTCCTGAGTTTATCAGAGTATATACAAAGTAACGTGTCAGAGGGGATGGCGAGAGCATAGGGGCCCTGGGCTGGCATGGAGGAGTCACATGGAGGGTCATGTGCGGTCATAGTGTCCCTCCCATGAATGCAGTACCGGCAAGAAATGATTTCTGCTTTCACCACTGCTGCACCTCCACCACTAGACTCCCCCCACTTGCAGAGTCTCACAAGGATCAGTTCTCTCTCTGGTCCTTTCCAGCGTCTATATGCAGCCACTTGATAAACTGGTCAGACAACAGACTCAAGTGCCAGCAATAAACAACGGACACAGCGCTCTACCTATCCTTCACCACATACAATTACCACCAAGACAGGCTAGTGTTTGGATAAGATCGGCTCATGGATAAAGAACAATTGGCTGAAGTTGAATCTGAGGAAGACAGAGGTGATGTTGGTGGGCAGAGGACAGCATTTGAAGAGTTCTCAGGTATGGTGCAGTCTCCTTTGATCAAAGAAACACACTGTGATCGATCAGTTCAGTCCATAGTTTAGGCATGCTCCTGGATGCCTCATCAGTGCTAAACTTGCACATACTAGCATCCATGAGTAACGGTTTCGACCATCTCCAGTTGCTAAGAATCTCCAT